ACAGACTTATATCCTAGTTAAAATACTTTTCTGAACTGTTTGGGCAACAGTGATTTAAAAATCTCGCACCACAACATTGTTTATTATTATTATTATAACAGCCAACTCCTCTCTTCTCCCTTCTCTTCTTCCCCAAAATTGGAGAATATCATGTTAAGTGAAATGTTATATTTCTGCAGCCTGAACTATCTTTGATGGCAGGTATTTCCTGTGATTCCAGGCAACAGTGAGCTTATTTTAGTAGCTTCCTCTACTTATGTGCACCAAACCTTCCAAAGATGAGTATTTCCACCATTGCCTTAGAGGTCTCTTTGCTAATTCATTTGACTTATGTGTTAATGTAGCATCTATTATTGGTGGGTGAATTTTTCTTTCCCAATGGTATTTTCCCCCCCAAAAAATCATAACTTCAGAAAGTCTTATTTCCATAAGCTGGAGAGAAATGTTAATGATTAGACTTTTCAGTGCTATGCCAGACTAAGGAGAAGACTTGCTTGGAAAACATCAGTTATTCGCTGCCTTTTAAACCACAGCATAAAGCTGTTCATCCCTGTATCTCTTAGCTGCAGGTTTATGACGGGGTCCAAGTAATTCTGTTCTGTTCATGATGACATTTGCTCATTGTCTGAAAGGATTCTAAATTAGGTATTGCAGGTTCAACATTAATTTTGGTTGAATAGTTGAAAATTGTTGGAGAAGGGACACCATGTCCTTTTGAGTATAACCACAGTACATTAAAATGGACAGATGAGCAGTTGTGATAGCCTCTAAGGAAAAAAATTGAAAAGGAAAATGTCTGCATACAAATGAGAAGAAATGAAAACAGCAAGGCACTTACATTTAAAATAACTAAGGAAAGTACCAAAATGATTACATGAAAAATTACTTTAATACCAAGGAAGCCCCTTAGAATGAATGGGATCTTTGAAACAGGACAAATTGTTTACCTGTTAAAAAAGATAGACACTGGCATCCTGACCACTTTATACATCTATTCAGTATTTATTATAGGAAAGGTGTGAGATGTTCAGACCATAAGGCATCTTCAAATAGTAAACACCCATTCTTAGAAGACAGAGAGATCAGATCTCTCAGCTAATGGTGAAAGGTCCATAATAAAATAAGAAGCTCTAGGCTTAAATGTAAATGTCAAATGTATGGAATTGGAGAATATCATGTTAAGTGAAATAAGCCAATCCCCCCAAACCAAAGGCCAGATGTTCTCTCTGATATGCAGATACTATCTCACAATAAGAGGGGAGGAGAAAAGAATAGATGTTCCTTAGATTAGACAAAGGGGAATGAAGGGAAGGGAGGGAGAAGGGGACTAGTTAAGACAGTAGAAAGAATCGGACATAACTTCTCTATGCTCATATGTGAGTATACCTCAGTATAATTCCACATAATGTAAACCACAGAATGGGAAGTTATACCCCATGTATGTATGATACGACAAAATGTACTCTATTGTCATGTATATCTAAAAAGAACAAATAAAAATTTAAAAAGAAGAAATAATAAATAAAAATAAATATATTTAAGTATAAAAATAAAAAAGTTCCAACAAAAAAATGTGAATGCCAGAATGAGACTGGTGTCCCATGAGAAGTTCTTGTATTATACACACTAGTTTATGAAATGTGAACATTAAAAATTGAAAATCGTATTTAGGATATACCTAAAACTTTAAAAATATTTCTATTAATTTGAAAAGCCAAATGAGAAGGGTGACAATGATTTTGTTAACAGAAACAAATTAATGTTACAAAATTGTACAGCTTAGAATACAGTTTTAAATATAATAAGTTAAAAACTTTTAAGGATAAAAAAAAATTCAGTCTTTAAGAGAATGAGAAATAAGTATTTATAAACACTGCTATCCAAAATATACAAAGAACTCCCAAGATTCAACAATAAGAGAATGAAGAACCCAAATAAAAGGTAGGCCAAAGACCTGAATGGGCACCTCATCAAAGAAGATATACAGATGGCCAAAAAGAAAAAGAAAATATGCTCAACATTAGATGTCATTAGGGAATTGATAATTAAAACAACTATACACCTATTAGAATGACCAAACTCCAAAACACAGACAACACCAAATGCTGGCAAGGATGTGGAGCAAGAGGATCATTTATTATTGGTGGAGATTAAAAAAAATGGTACAACCACTTTGCAAGACAGTTCATCAGTTTCTTACAAAACTATATGTCTTCTTATTATACAATCCAGTGATTATACTCCTTGGTATTTACCTAAATGACTTGCAAAGTTATGTCTACACAAAAACCTACACAGATGTTTACAGCAGCTTTATTCATAATTACCAAAACATGGGAGCAATGAAATGTCTTTCAGTAGGTCAACAGATAAACAAAATGTGGCACATCCAGAAAACAGAGTATTATTCAGCACTTGAGTGATCAAGTCATGAAAATATGGGGAGTGAATTTAATTCCATATTACTGAGTGAATGAAGCCAATCTGAAAAGGACATACACTGTATGATTTCAATTGTATGGAATTTTGGAAAAAGAAAACTATGGAGGCATCAAAAAGACATTGGTTTCCAGAACTTAGTGGAGAGGAGGACTTTTAGGCAATGAAACTACTTCATATGATATTTTAATGGTGGATATGTGTCGTTGTACATTTGTTAAGATCCACAGAATGTACACAAAGAATGAACTCCAATGTAGACTATGTAGTTGGGTGATAACAGTGTGTCAGTGTAAGTTCACAGATTGTAATAATAAATGTGCCACTCTGGTGGGATCTGGATAGTGGGGGAGGCTATGTGTATTTGGGGACAGGGAGTATATGGGAAATGTTTGTAACTTTCCCTCAATTTACTGTGAACAATAAATTGTACCCAAAATTAAAGTTTATCAATTGAAAAAAAAAGAATGTTCCATTGCTGTTTAAACCACTGTATGATTCCATCAGATAAAGTTCTGTAATAGGCAAAACTAATCAATGGTGATATGAACTAGGATAGTGATTTCCTCTGGGGGAATCAGCTACAAAAAGGCATGAATAGAACATCTGGAAGTATTGGTGAAGTTCTGCTTTTTTATTTGATTGACAGTAATCACATTGTGAAAATTCATAGAAATACATGTTTCCTGGTATCATGTGTGTGTTATATCTCAATGTCTTTTTTTAAAAAAAATTTTGTAGTTGTAGATTAACACAATACTTTTATTTTGTTTTATTTTTATGTGGTGCTGGGGATCGAACCCAGTGCCTCACGCATGCTAGGCGAGTGCTCTACCACTGAGCCCCAGCCCCAGCCCTCAATGTCTTAATTTAAAGTTTTTTATAAGTGAAAAAAAGAAACAAAATCCAAAACAAAACAAAGACCAAATGAAACTACCCAACTTTAAATTTATTTCCTGTGGATCATTTGTTTTACTGGGGAGAAGCAAGTAATCCCTGCACACTTTTCTTCCAGTCATTTTGGAATGAGGCATTAATGGATGAGTTAGGATGCAACCAACAAGAGAAAACACTCTAAGTATTTTAAAACGGGTGGAATTTAACCCAAGAGAAATGATTACATTTGACGAGAGGCTAAACTAGGGATAGTAAATCAACCTAAAGAGCATAATTAGCAAAAAGTCCAAGATACTACCACCTACAGTTCTCAAGGGACCAGGGGAAGAGCCAGTGTTGCTAGGGTTCAGGGTTCAAGGTTACTGGGGGAAGCTGGAGGCAAAGGCTGGGGTTGGAAAGCAGCCCACAGGGGTCTATCCCCATGGAACTGAGCAGGTTCAGGGTAAAGCATGGACCTCAAGGTAAAAACAGGCACAAACTGGCACACTGGAGAACAGAGAACTCAGAAAATCAGTTTTTCATTTTCATTCCTCTTGGAGTAACTGCTCCAGTAGGGAGATGGACTTAATGATATTTTCAAAGTGCACTGTTTACCTCTTGGGAGGTAGACATCTAGCAAACATCTTGAAAACAAATGAAATCACCATTGTAGTTCTATATCCAGTCTCAACAAACCAAATTCATGCATGCACCCTTAAGATCATGAGAGAGTTACAGACCTTACTGTGAAGTTAACCAAAAGTATAAAAAAAAGTGTGCCTGCCTTTAAGGCAGGCAGTGAGCAATGCCAGCTACGTTGCTTTATTCAGAAAGTGACATGGGTGTATTCTGATGATCTGGACATCACCATTCTTCACAGAAGAAAATAAAACCACATTTTGAAAACTGATCTTAGAAGGAAGTGAAAAGTCACACAATTTCCCCAATATGACCACTACTCAATTCCTCCAATCCTCTCTGTCCTGCTTAAAAAAATGATGATATTTAAGTCTAATATTAAAGCACAAATTTGCAAGTTCTGTTGTACCATGGAAGGGTATTATGTCTGATGATATAAAACATATTTATTCATCCGTTTTATAGCCAGGCAAACAAAATTTAATGTGTTGTATGTGTGTACTTAATTGTTCATAGAAGTTAAAAAAAATTACTGCACTTGAACTTAACCATGTCCTGATTTTAATGTAGGCAACATAAAACCCTCCGGCAGGCAGCTTTTGAAATGTTATCTTTATCTCACACGTAGATGTGTCAATGATTAAACTGCCAGAGACACAAGCAAATTTTCCTTCAGTTTATACCTTATTAAAACATGGTTCTTACCTCATTCTGAATAATTACTCTAATATGAAATATGTTTTCTATCTTTAAAAAAATTGCTAATTTTTAGAGGAGAAATAAAACATTATGGCATTTGCTTAACAGAAACAAGAAAGATATTGTTGGGGCCATCTCTGTGTTGAACACCTCATAATTCAGATGGTTTCTGATAATAATAAAAACAAAAGGAACAGAAAATAAGTCTTTCACTGTCTGACACCCCATTAAAAGTAGAAAGCTGGAGGGTGTTGGTAATATTTAACCCCTTTTATTAAAGGGAGAGAAGCACTTTACAAGGACATCATTGATGTCCTTCTTACATCCGTGGGCTTAAACACACTCACCTAAAATTCCGTGAAGAAACAGCATGAATTTTCCAAAACCATCTATATTATTTTCTTTGAAATGGATGTTGATTATGGCATTTAAAGACTCCCCAAGTGCTTCATCCAGGGATTTGTAAATCCTATATATCTGCAATGACAAAACATCGGTTTTATTTAGCTAAGAAACTCACATGTTTACTACAGAAAACAGTCAAGAATGGCAGTTCTAGAACATATGTTATTTTACAAAACCCTCATGCACTATTAATAACTTGTAATATTCAACTCAGAACATTGGTTTTCATTTACTATAAGAAATAAGTTATTTCTTTTCCTATAAGAATAATGGCATGGATGCTAGAAGTCCTTCCACAGATGAGGATGGACAGGCCTAGGGGGATCAAGTGACTGTCCAAGGTGAAACAGCAGGTTAATAACAGGAGAGAGTCTTGAACCTGGGGGTCCTAGCATAACTCTTTGTTTTTAGATGATTAAAAACTTAGAAATGAAACCAGGTGTGGTGGCGCACACCTGTAATCCCAGTGGCTCAGGAGACTGAGGCAGGATGATCTCGAGTTCAAAGCCAGACTCAGCAAAAGCGAGGCGCTAAGCAACTCAGTGAGACCCTGTCTCTAAATAAAATACAAAAATAGGGCTGGGGATGTGGCTCAGTGGTTGAGTGCCCCTGAGTTCAATCCCTGGTATGAAAAAAACAAAAACAAAGCAAAACAAAACCTAGAAATGGGAGAATATGGAATCTGCTATGCTTTCCAAGTAGGTAATTTTCTAGAATATTGAATCACCATAATTTCTACTAAAGCCAAGGAACTTCCTGTTGAAGCTGGAGTCCTCAGACACAAATGTTCTCTAATGGCCTAATCTTGAGCAGTTGTAAGTAGATATCTCATAGGAATTAGTTACATACAGCAAAGGCAAACTAACATTATTTAATTATCCATATGATTTATTATGTTGTGTTGTAATAACATATAAACAGTAAATAGCTCACAAAATGGGCTGTTTATGTTTCTTAAAGCTGAATGGCTTTATAAGTTTTTGCCTTCTGAGAAAATTCATAGATGAGAACTGGAGGAGAGAAGCTCTGCATGGTTCTGGAAATCACATGTTAAGACAAAGGAGAAGAGAGGGAGGAGGGACACATTAAGGTAAAGGGGACAAGGTATCTGACAGCTGTGGGGACAGAAAAGGGAGGGACTGATAGGTAGAGGGTGCCCTCTGTCCCCAGCTCCAACCAAACTACTTTCCTCTCCAGCTGTGTTCTCTAACCCAGGTCATCTAAAATGATCATAATCATCATTTTAACTTTCATGACTAGCTTTAGGCATCTTATGGTTTTAGGTGCATAGAAAACAAAATCCTATAACAATAACTCCCCCTTCTTCGAATCCAAATTTTCAGATAAGTTTGTTATTTCATGAGTTATTAATAGGAGATAAAGAAAATTTCATTGCACAATTAACCCCTGTTGTGTCATATCAAGACCCAACAGTGCTAGATACATGCATGAATTTGACACTTTTGAATTAAATGTATTATTACAAAACTTTCTGATTTTTTTGTTTGTTTTCTTGAAGTACATGCTGTCATTATTTTAAAAATTGGGTTTGAAGTAGATTAGACCTATGCATTTGAAAATATGTTATATGTTAAAATGTTGCCCCTCCCCCCCATGAATGCAGGTCTCCAAACCACAGTGTCAGGAAATGAACATAAATTTACACAATCTTATATTCTTTCATGTAAAGCCGTGTGTGTGTGTGTGTGTGTGTGTTAATAAAGTGAGCACACAGAGATAAACATATCTAGCTCTATTTGGCAACCCAGAATCATTCAAGAAATCCCTTGTTTTTGGCCTAGTGACCTGTCAGGATCTTGTTGCTGGTCTTTGCTCCTCCACCTGTCAATCTTGGGGTGGGTATTTTGCATGTTTGGTTTTTGCCTAGCTCCCTGGGTCACCCTGGACTGCAGTGGACTAGGAGGGAAACCAGGAAGCACTCAGACAGAGAGCTGGGTAGCCCGAGTGGACTGGGATCTATGACTTTAATAACAATTGCACCTTGGATGATATGCTGATTGTGAGCCAGCTTGAGTTTCTGGCCACTACTCCTTCACCAAGAAGTGACCCTGTTTCAGCCTGTAGCTCAGGCAGTGATCAAAAGCATGTGTCTAATCTGGAGGCAGCTCCATCTCTAGTACTCCTAGCTTTGTTCCCTGTGGGACCCCAGGATACACAGAACTGAATATAGATAATTCTTTCCACGTCTGAACCAGAGGGCGGCTTCCTCTGGTTCTGACAGTGAATCAAAGCCTTCAATCCTGCTCCTTCTCTTGCTGTAGCCTATTGAACACTTGAGAAGCAAAATTCTCACATGAACACTCTCTGGGGATAGAAAATGATACTTTTTTTTTCTTTAAAATTTTAGTTAAATACTAGGTCAGTAAACTTAAATTCTAGGTTGGCTAACCTAGAATATCTAATTCAACTAGAAGTTAAAGATTTAGTACACCGAGATAAGATAAAAAATAAGGTCTCCTTTACCTAGTTCCCTGACAAAGATTTCAGGCAGGGTTCCCATTCGAGTTAAGAGTTGATATCACACCACAGATAAGAGAGAGAAGTGTTTTATTCTATTTGGGGCACCATATTTTAGGCATCTAGGTTGAATGGAAATTGCAGGAGGTAGATTTTTGCTAAATAAGAAAACTTCCTTAAATTGGAGCATACACAAATAGAAACGCCTTCACACCAATGGTATTAATATAGGGATAAATATGATAGTCTATTGATAGTCACCGTGATGTGGGATTTGGTAAGGGCCATACAGCCATTACACAAGGATGGGGTATGTGGTCACTCCAGCTGTAATTCCATGGGACCAAGCCAAACATGAGACTCAAGCACAGTTAGTATTCACATTACCATTGAAGTTTGTGCCAGTGCTGATCTTCCCACTTAAAACAGCTCTCCATCCTCACTCTCTAGTGTTTACCTTGAAATATTTTCCTCATAGCACTTCTAACTTTCTAATGTATTATTTATCCATTGTCATTTCACACTAACGTGTAAACTCTACAGAGGCAAAGTTTTTGTTCTTTATTGCACTCCCGATGTTCAGGGTGACGGCTAGCACACAGTAGGCCTGAAGGAATATTTATAGCAAGAACACACAAACCAATGAGTGAATGAAGTCTTTTTGGTTGTCACCAAATTTAAATCTAAGAAGAAACTTGGATATTCTTAATCACAAAGATTTGCAGATCAGATTTAGGCTTATAATTTATGATTTTTATCTATTCATCTCCTAGAAAAAAACAAAGTAGAGTGAAATATAAGATTAAATAACATGGATGCAGTAAAGAAAAAATCTTATTAAATTATCTTTCTTATTTTAAAAGTTGCCTCCTTTTCTTATAAATGTATTAAGTCCAATCTCTTCTCTGTTACCCCTGTGACCTTGCACCTCATTAAAATAATTTCATCCCAAGAATTCATAGGAATTTTATTCACACTGGAAAAAATGAGGAACCCAAGCAGTCATTTTATCTGTTTTCATTATTAGGTAGGAATTTGCAGCAGAAACACTAAAGGGAAGGGGGAAGTTGGTGGTCTCTAGGACTTACACTGTAGGCTTTCCTTTTTTGTTAGTTATACTTGGGAAATTGGGGTGCCATGGTCTGGCTTATTAGATTTCAGTGAATGGACAACAATTTCAGATCCTTGGGTTAGATGATGATGTCCATAAATTTGCAAAGGGTGCACCAGAGAAATGCAAACATGGAGAGCCACACTGCATTCATAAACATATAAAATTTGGTAATTTATGGAGTTTGACACTGTTTGTCGACATAAGTTGCAGCACCTATTAAAAGAGTTTGGTTAAGAATGATTGTAGTCATTGGAGACATGGTAACGACTTGTCCAAATAATTTCCAAACAAATAAATCCTGCTTTTTTCCAGCAGCTCTATGCCATGGAATTCAAGATGGCATGCTAAAATTTCACCCCACCTAAGCCTGGGATTCCTGTTAACCCTCTTTTGCAAATATAGCAGCAGAAGGATCCTTTATAACAATGAGAAGGCTGGGAGAGAAGGAAAAACTTTGGATCTGAAAGGTCTCTCTTCTGCTGTTATGGAAAGAAGACTGAAGTAGGATTAGAAGACTGGGTTTTCTTACCACTAACTAGCTGGGCAAGTCATTTACTCTTAACTTAGTTTCAGTTTTCTCATTAGTAAAATGAGGGTATTAGGTCTAGATCATTGGTGTTTCAGTCAGTAGTGGTTCTCCTCTCACCCTTAGGGACATTTGACAATGTCTTGAGTATTTTCACTTGCAAGGGAAAAATAGGTACAACTGGCATCTGGCAGGTAGAGGCCAGGGTGCTGCAGAACATCCTGCAGTGTCCAAGATGGCCCCTACCAAATACTGAACCAGTCCAAGTGTACCAATACTAAGTTGAGAAACTTTGGTCCAGATGGTTTAAATCCCTCTCAGACCTCAAACCCTTCTGTAATTTTACCACAGGCCCCATACAGATCTCTGATATTGCACAAAGTAAGCCTAATTCACCACTGAAGTTAACCTGGCAAATGTCCTGGCAAATGGACAGATCTGAAGACTATCATACTAAGTGAAATAAGCCAATCCCCCAAAACCAAAGGCCTAATATTCTTTCTGATATGTGGATGCTAACACACAATAAGGTGGGAGGGGGGAATGGGAAGAATATAAGATCATTGGATTAGACAAAGAGGAAGGGAGGAAAGATGGGATTAGGAAAGACAATAGAATAAACTGGACATAACTTTCCTATGTTCATATATGAATACACCAACCACTGAAACTCCACATCATGTACAACCACAAAAATGGGATCCTGGTTAGAATAAATTATACTCCATTTATGCATTATATTAGTCCTCATAGCAACTCTAGATTTCCCATAACTCTAGCCACCAATGACCATGAAGTTTCTCATGTTACCAACAGTTGTGCCTGCTAAAAGAGAAGCAATGCATCCTTCAACCTCAGATAACAAAGTTGTTGATGTCAAAATACACTCTACTGTCATGTATATCGAAAAAGAACAACATCAATAACAAAAGATAGCAAGAGGGTATTTGAGCA